GTTGGTGCATGCACACATGTGCGCGCACGCACACACACACACACACACACACACACACACACACGACTGTTTTTAATAACTTGGAACAGAGTCATTTCTTCACATTGTAAATCCTCAACTCCTATATCTCTTGATATAATGAATGTAACCCTCTGACTTTGAGTTAACACAGGCCAGACTCAACATTCCTCCCTGTGCTCACACTTCCAATTCTAGAATCACAGAGCAGGCTGACCTGCTAAAATGGATTTTCTCAGGAAAGAGAGCTGTGACTAAAGAACATTTCTGATACCAGCAACAGATGCTCTAGGAACTAATTCAGGCAGGAGTGTACACAGATACAGTAACTAAACTGCCTGTTACACATACTGTGAGAAAGTATGTTTACCTCTCTCCCAAGTTGGGCTTTTTGGGGATGGAGTCTTAAAAATAACATGGCTTTATTTCAGCCTTTAATATGCTCTTAATTTTCAAATGAGGTCTGCAAGTGTAAGAAATTAAATCTGAACCTTTCACTGAGCCTAGTATGGCCACCCTTTCCCCTCAAGTACCCTGTTCCCACTTAATTTTTGCCCTTTTAGTGAAACTAAAAAGTATCCTGATTAAAAACCCAGTTAGGCAAAGGTTGCTCATCACCTCAGCTAACTCTGTAGAAGTTCATGAAGGGTTCAAATAACTGTGGAGATTAAAAGGGTAGAATTCTTCCGGAAATTCAGTAAAAAGCTGAGTGAATTCTTTATGGATAATGGGATCCATTTTCAGAAATTCACTATTCATTTCTAGCCAGATGTCCTGTTGAACCAATGATCAAAATTCTATTTCTACATACCGGTACAGCAGGTCCTCCATTAGCATTCAACAATGTTTCATTATAATGTTTATGAGATACTGTAGGAAAGTAACTCTTGTTTGTAATAACTAGCCTATAAAATTGGTGTCATTAGGTGTAATTTTGCTGTAGTGTCAAGTGAGAACTTACTGTATCTGTTCATCTCTAGTAACAAATAAATCAACAAAACCAAATCATTTGGCCAACAAATTATACCAAATTCTCCAGAGACTAGCCAACAATAAATACTAAAGATCTCTGATCTATTTGGACCAGAATAGAGATAAACTGCACGTGAACAACATGTGCTCTGGGCATTCTGCATGCCATTTAAATGCCATGGAAGCCCCTCTCCTCTCCAATGGGGGAGTGAGAGAGTAGGGGAAGGGTCCCCTAGTGCAATTTCTCTTTTAGCGACTGAGCTCTCCCTCCCTATGTGCCCCCAGCACCTCAGACACATCTCCAGTACACTGCTGTCTGCTCACTTCAGTCTTGACACAAGACAGCAAGAGAAGCTCTTCAAAGTCAAAGACTCACAAACTGTTATCCATTCATTTAAAAACTCCTGTCATAGAAGATCACTGATGCTCAAATACTTAGTAAATTGTGTCTATTATTTGCCCCTATGTCCTAATTCAAACTTAGTTTTTTAATAACATTTTCAGTAAACCTGGTGCCTTCCTCAATCATTCTACTGACCACTAAGCATTTCTGTATTACTTTAATAATAAACACTTAGTACCCACTGTCTCATTGCCCTCCTTATTTTATGATCCTCAAGAGGAGAGCTGAGCTCCCCATAAAAACTGACACAATAGTTCATACAATGAGCACTTAATGACTGAAAAAGCAACAGCCTATTTAACATTAAAGAGTAGTATTACTACCTTAAAATTATGGTCAAGGTCATAGTAAGAACAGAAGGAACAAAATAGATTACTCATTAGCTACCTTTCTAGATTTTTAAGCAAAGAATGTGGAGGTAAAATTAACTTAGACTTTATATAACACTAGGGGCCCAGTGCAGGAATTTGTGCACCTTGAAAGGAACTGTGGGCCGTGAGGCTGTGGTGGGCACAGGGGTGGGTCTCGGCCCATCCTCCATACCCCTGCCCGACCCCTCCCGCTGTGGCCCTGGGCCCGTCTGCCAGCAGCCTCACTCCTGCCGCTGCCGCTCCCATGCACTGTCGGTGCCAGCCCCGCTCGCATCCACTGACGGTGTGGAGCAGCAGGTGTGCTGTCAGCGGGTGGGAGCAGTGGCTGCTGCCCCAATCACCCCTCAGGAACAGGGGGAGGTGGAGAAGCCCTCAGGGGCAATCAGGGCCGGCAGCCGCAGCTGGCACCCGCTGATGGCACCAAGTGATCGGGACTGGTGCTGGGCACCGGCAGGAGATGCGAGCGGGGCCGGCGCTGGCAATGGGTGTGAGCGGCAGCTCTGGCGCCAACAGAGGGTGTGAGCGGGGCCAATGCCGACAGCAGGTGCGAGCTCCAGGCGGGATTGAGGCGCGCGGGAACAAAAAATTTTCAGTAACCACCAGAGGCTCGCCCTGATGACAGCAACCAGCGCCCTGCCTTGGTCTGGCGCCCCCGCTCACCTGCTCCACTATCTCACCGTGGCCAACGCCCGCCATGGTCCGCATACGCCCCCTGGTGGTCAGCACATCATTGGTTGTTCCACCATTCAGTCTATTTGCATATTAGCTGTTAAGTAGGATCATACCTTAATAGTGTCATATATTCAGGAGCTGTATTTTTTCTTTGTAATCCTCACTGATAATGAGGCAGTGAGTACTCTGCACTCATTTTCTGTTTATCTCAGGCTGCTAACTTGGTGATGGGAAAGTGGTACCTGAAGTCCTGTACATGTGATTAAAAGTAAATAAATGAAGAAAACAGAACCCAGATGCTCTTTCTTATTTCATCTTTGTCAACCACTGTTCTTAAGGTTATTATTTATCTACAACCTCTTAAGGAGTATTTAAATATAGACTTTAAAAGTTCAGCTTGGTTGGAGCATCATCCCCCACACCAAAATTTTGTGGGTTTGATTCCAGCCAGGTTACATACCCGGATTGAGGGTCCGATCCCTGTTTGGGGCATGTACGAGAGGCAACCAATCACTGTTTCTCTTTCACATCAATGTTTCTCTCTCTCTCTCTCTCTCTCTCTCTCTTTATTAAGAAAAGTTTGTCCTCTGGTAAGGATTTTTAAAAAAAGTTGAACTCTAAAAATTTTCCAAACTTATTAATTTTATTAATGGTAAATCCCTTCAATGAATCATTTTAGGGCATTAAAGCAATTATTAAAGCATTTATCTTTTCAAAATTAAATCCACATATAGGCAAAACCAGTGGTGATGACATTTCATTTGGATCTACCGAATAGTCAAAAAGAAAAGAAAAACCTAGATGTTTAATTTTTCTAAGGGAAGGAAAGAGAAGTTCTGAGCTGGTACTTGAAAATACACAGAAGAGGCAGGGAATCACAGTTTCCTGGAGAGTGTTCAAAAAAAGCTGGGCCTGAATATTCCAACTCACACTTGCCCTTTTGAAAGCATTCTCCACAGGCAGGCGGGCAGAGCAGAAGAACTTAACAATGGCCCTGCCTCAGGGGCTGGTCCTGGGCACAGTGCCATTTAATCCTCATACTCATTATTTGGGAGGAAGGTAAGCTAGAAGTAGACAAGCTCCTTGTCAAAATTTACGAAAGACAATCACTAGGAACTGAAGAGATCTAGAAGAAACTGTGGCTGGATTTAGGTGCATTACACAACCAACACCAAGGAAGGCAAAAGTCAAGGTACAACTCCAAGGCCACACAGAGGAGCCTGACTAATGCCATTTTTTTCCTTTAGGCTTGTAGTCACTAAGTATATGAGAAAGGGAAGCCAATAATGTCCATTTCTGGACAGTTAAATGCCAAGACTGTAAGACACATGATAGAGTAATAAGATACATACGAGATCATCAAAACAGGGCTCTGATCTATGGTCTACATAGTTCTGTTCAGAATTCCAAATCTACTGTGAGTCCTTTGATAGCTATTCCTTCTCGCTCTAAGCAGAAATTATCTGCCTTCTCTAACTCCCATACAGCAATTTATGGCCCACCTCGAGTATTTTTCACATTGTGATTTGCACTGTAAGTAAAAGTGTAAGTTCCTTGAGAGCCAAGACCCTGACTTTGTATTCTTCGCTTCCACCAGAATAACAGATTTCTAACAAATGGTTGTTAAAGGCAATCGAGTGAATAGAATATGAGCCCTGCAGCCCGAGACTGTCCAAGTTTAAGCCCTAATTCTACAACTAACTTTGAGATGGTGGGAAAGTTTCTAATCTTTGTGTCTCCATTTTTTTCATATGTAAAACTGGCACAGTAATTATTGTGAAGATTAAATGAGATAATACCTGTAATGGGCTTAGAATGGTACTTGGCATATACTTAAGTGTTGAATGAATGTTGCCTAGTAATCAGTAGTCATAGTAACAGCACATTAATAAATGAATTAATAAATGACCGATATACATGAAAAATTATCATAAAAATTAGAGGGGGTCCTGATGCTGGGTTTTCCTGGAATCAATGACAGTATTTCTCCCAGATTTAAATCTTTCACAATTAGATAAAATACAGGACATTCTGTTAAATTAAATTTTAGATAAACAACAGTATTTTTTTAGTATAATTTTGTCCCAAAATTGCATGGTAAGAGAAAACTGGTAAACCAGCATCTAGTAGAATAAGAACATTGGTTTGCTGTTTTAAAAAAAGTCTCTAAATCTTAAAAGTCACTCCCTTGCTCTGTTAAAGAACTTCCTTCTTTACCACCTTTAGGAAGGCCTCCTCGTCACACAGTCACACCCCTTACCACCAACACTAAGTTGAAGTGAAAATGAGAATTTTAAACTACATATAGGAAGACACTCTTTCTGTATCCTTCCTCTAGTTTCTAAAGTCAATAAAAACATATTTAAAAAATAAATAAACTGGTGTCGATTATTTGAGGACATATCTGTGAGAGGCAGGTTTCTACAGAATCCAGAACATATTAGGCACGCAGGTTGAGAGTATTATGACATCTCACATGTACTCTATAAACAGGTCTTCTTTTACAAATAACATCAAACTTATGCTTTCAATTCTAATGAACAAGCTTGCAGCTGAGATCTTACCCCTCAGCACTGATTTGAGGTTGAGCTTGGCTTGGCGGTGCAGGTCCTCCACGCAGGGGGGCCTCGAGGCCGGAAGGAACACGTTCTCCTGCTGGTGCCAGGGAGCAGTGTAGTGGACTGTCCATCTGCTCTCCTCATCTAGGTTGGAAACCGCTGTAGAAAGAGAGTTACAATCAACCCAGCTGTCAAATTAAGTTTCACTGGCTCTACATGCACTGCATCAAGATGGGTTTTTGGTGCCCAACACATCCCCTGGGTTAAGGGCCAGCGAGAGGGAAATGGAGCGAATTCTAAGTGAGATTTAACCTTAGACTCCAGGGGTCCTTCCCACAGTGTTCGTCTCTAAAGGAACCGGTGAAACTGTCCATCATGTTTTGGTAGAAATGTTTACTCAATTAATTGCTTCCTAGCATTTTAGACCCTCCCTCTAAGCCAGCGTTAGAAAATGATTGACAGAATTGATAGAGACCTCCAATTCCTAACTAAGTCCACCATGACAGGCATCTGCTATTCAATTATACAGAGCAATTGCTCAGTAGACGTTAGAGTATCAGAACAGAAACAAATTTCCTACTGAGAAGTTGAGACAAAATATTTCCTCCCTTAAGCATTATTTTAAAACACCAGTTATAAACTCAATTAAATTTAAAAATTAAGCATAAGCAGTCAATGTAATTCATTTAAATAGCATATTTAATAGTAGAAATCAATTTGTGCTACAAGATTTTCTTTGTATTTCTTGCTTTCATTAAATACTTTTATATTAAAATGGTTTTTTTTTAAGTCCCATGTAATTTACTTTTCCCAACACAATCCAATTCAACTGAATTTTTCCAGCATAAAAGAGATTAAAGCCCTAGCCAGCTTGGCTCAGTGGATAGAGCGTCAGCCTGCAGACTGAAGGGTCCCAGGTTTGATTCCGGCCAAGGGCACATGCCTGGGTTGCGGGCTCAATCCCCAGTGGGGGGTGTGCAGGAGGCAGCTGATCAATGATTCTCTCTCATCATTGATGTTTCTATATCTCTCTCCTTCTCCCTTCCTCTCTGAAATCAATAAAGAAATATATTTTTAAAAAAGAGAGATTAAAATATTAGGAGGGGGAATGATAGATAATCATGAGAGAATGCTAAATCTCTACAATAATTTTTCTTTATTCCCCCCTAGGGCTTGAGACCTCTTTGTCTATTTCACTTTCCCCCGACAACACAACCTAAAATAGCATACCAGTGGAGCACCAAACAAACTCACCAACAATTTTTATAAAGATTTTTAGAGAGAAGGAGAGGAAGAGAGAGAAACATCAATATGAGTGTGAAACATAGACTGGCTGCCTCCTGCATGGCCCCCACCAGGGATCGAGTCAGCAACCCTTTGATGCACATGGGACGACACCCAACCAACTGAGCCACACCAGCCAGGGAGCATAAAAAATTTTAAGTACTTTCCATATATCTGCCACCACAAGCCAAGCATAGAATAAACTAGAGAAGTACAAGAGAAAACCCTGTGCTGAGTCATCTGCAGGTGGTTACAAGTATGACAGCTGTAGAATCAGCAGATACTAGAATTGTGAGGCAGGGGCGAGTCTTCCCTAACCCTGACCGATGCTACAGAGTGCACACTGGGCATACCCACATCTCTGGTAACTAAACCATAAAACCGATTCTCAAAATAAAATGAGCAGGCATGCATGAACTATTCAACTTTCTATATGAACATATTTAAAGTTAACACAGTGGACCCCATAGCACAGCTACTACATCTATATATATAAAAAAGAGGAAATATGCAAATTAGGCCGGGATGCTGTAACAGGTCATGAACAGACAGGAGGAGGTTGCGCGCACAGGTGAAGCCCTGAGCCGAGATGGAGACAGAGACAGGGGGCCGGGAGCCGCGCCCCCCGGTTAGGGTGGGCCCCCCCCCCAAGAGCCGGAGCAGACACGGATAGGGACAGGGGGGCCGGCCTGCAGCCTCCGGGGCCGAGCGCAGTCCCGGAGAGGAGACGGCGGGCCCACCTCTCGCGGAAGCAGCACGGCTCCTGGAGGCGCACTGCGGTTCCTGCCAGCTCCCTTGGGGTTCCTGCCGGCTCCCTTGGAAGCGGCGGGCGGCCTACTGCATTCGATATCGCTCAATGGGCTACTGGTCTATTATAAAGATTAAGTGAACTACTATATGTAAAGTCTTAGCTCACAGAATAACTCATGTAAAGCCTGGGTGAGGCAGGGGCAGTGAAATTAGCCCGAAGGAGCCCCTGACTGGTAGCACCATCACTGGGAGGAAGTTGTCCTTCCTCAGCACCCCCAGGAACCCGAGCCCCGGGTTAGCTCTCCCCTCCCCTTCTCTGCAGCTACTAAACTCTACCAGCCTTACTCCCAAATAGTTCATTTCCTAAGTGATCCCACTTCTCCATCAATTGCTAAGTGGGAAAATAAACAGAGACCTAGACATCAAGTTATAAACGGAAATGTCCCGTGCGCTTTCTGCTTTTAGTGTTTGACAAAGAAGCATGTACATTAGGCACCGGGGATTCACGTAACCTCTCGTTGAACAAATGTTTTGCATGGTGCATATAGCTCTCAATCTTAATACAGAACATCCACGAGGACTAAGTTCTTACTTACATATCTGATCATCTTGAACAGTCTGGAATTCGCCGTATGGGCCCCAAAGAGGAGCCCTAGTCAATTACAATGCTTTGTGCTCATGTCCATGTATATGAAAGACTGAATTACCCGCTATCATAGCTGGAAAATACTGAAAATGGAAACTCTTCCTATTTGCCAATTTCAAATCAAATCCAAGTAATGCTATTCGAGTCTATGCAACCACACCATTAGCCCCCCTGCACAGCAACCAAATGGCTCCTATGAAAGGGCCGTGGTCTCTTCCCTGGTTTTCTCATTCTTGCGGGGGCAGATTTCAGTCAGTCCATCCAAAGACAGCCTTCCAGGGGCAGAGCTGCAGACAGCGATCCCAGGGTGCAGTTCTTTGTTGCTTCCTCCAAAGTTTTTCTTTACCAATGGCTCCTACACTTGCACATTTATCCAGTTTCAATCACTGGTCCCAAAACTAAACTAAAGCTAATCAACCAGTAACTATGTAAAAATAAAACCATGTATGTGTGAAAATTATACTTTTCCAGGGAATGAAGCACCTGGATTAAAGAAATTTAAACCAAGGGTGAGTGAACAATGAAGCCACACCGCGAAAGCTGTGTACTTTACAATGGCTGACCGGTCTAGACAGAGTTTGTGCTCCAGTTCTGAAACACAAAACAGAGTGCCAGGGGGTTTAGCGGATCATCACCACCAAAAATATGTGACACCTGACACAGGGGTTCCCTGCACAGTCAGCCAAAGAATGAAAAAAACATACAGCAGGGTGGACATAAAGTAAACACAAGGTCCTTCCCTCCACCTTCTTCAAAGGGCTGCTTTTGAAAGCACAAAAGCAGTGAATTCACCGGAAATCTGAGCCACAAATAAGTAAGGCATGCTGAGATCACATAATTCTGCCCTAGCGCCCCAAAAGTCAGGTATTTGAACAACCTGCTTTAGAATGGAGTTTAACTTGTGTCAATTATGCTCTTTCACACTCTAATTCCACCACTCCAAAGGAGGAAATAGTACATCACACACACACACACACACACACACACACACACACAGCCACAGTGGGGAGAAAAGAAACTACTTACTTTTCTTCTTAAATAGCTTAATGAAAGACTTGATCTTTGCATTAATGAAGACCACCATTTCCAGGATGCCTACATAGGGCTTAGAAATTTAAATCCCATTCAAAGCTCAGTCCAGCAGGCAGGTGGCAAGCTGCATCCCTTTGCTCCGGATTCACTTCTTGCTCTGTTCTCCTATCGTTAGACATCTGCCCAGGCTGATGTAACTTGGAGGCTCAGCTTATTGTCAGGCAGTTACAAACCATTAACAGTCCTTGAACCTGAAAATCTCCCACTGAAACCTAATCTTTAGGGCTGAGAGCCTCCAGTGACAACATGTGCAGAAAGAGAAAGCTAATCACAGTTCTTATTTGCATGATAGCCACAGCAGTCTTTCTGCCTCTGGGCTCATTTATTCCGTTTTCTCTCCAGCAGATCAGAAGTTTCTCCTCTCCGGAGTCCAGAGAGTAGTGCAGCTTGCCTCTGCGGAGGTCAAGGTGAAGCACATGTGCTCCCCACCCTCACTAGGCCCCGAAGAACGTCCAGATCTGTTTACTGGAGCCCACAAGTCTAAGAGCAAGTCTGTGTTGATTCTTTGACTCTCCAGTTAATTCAGGCATGGGAACTGATTTAAGGAGAAAAAGAGCCAAACTATTGTTTCCCCAGCCACGCCCCCAGGCTCTGCCTGCCATGGCAAAGCAGTAAAACTTTACAACAGAATCTCCACAGAGCTGTAAGTGATGACTTGGTTGCATTTTCCTGCAAATTAGTATGCCCAGTCTTCTCACCCAGTTGTGGTATTTTTAGCCAGTGATTGAGAACCAGCACTGTAATTGTTCCAGTTTGATCTTACTTGCATTTAGCTCTCACAACTCCCTCCTTCCCAAAACCCCAGCTTACCCACTCCAAAGAAGAAATTAGATGGAGTACCTTAATCATTAAGAAAATAAAATGAAATAAAGTACCCTAATCATTTAAATCTGTATTTTGAATTTAATTGCCATCTAAGCTCCTGGCTAAAAAGTTAGAGACACACACACACACACACACACACACACACACACACACACGCTCCCGGTGGGGAAGAAGAAGAGTAATTTCAAAGAAACATTGTTTGGGTTTCTCTTTAACATGAATATAATAGTATACTTAGTGTTCTGGTTCTTTTGTCCATTCCCACTAACCTCAGAGAGCTGGGGAAACACAAATCAAGAAGAGTAAGAAAAGGGGTATTAGCAGGATCCAGAAAAATATATCCTGGGGTAAAGGAACAGAAACAAAAAAGAAAAGAATATAGATCAGGAAATACTATGAAAGAGAACAAAGAAAAAATAATGCTCCTCACATCTCTCCCAATTCCACTTTATGGCAAAGCAGTCTTGGAAACACGTTAGACAACCCTCTTAGTTCATAGCCTCGGGCCAGACTTATAACTGAATGGAGAAATGTAATAACCCACTAATTCAAAACATTTAGTTATAACAAAACTCTTAGTCAAAGAATAAAACTTATGTAAGGGGCTCCCTCTAGGGAAAGCTTTGGAATAATTCCTTTGCAAATCTTTCCCCTCGTTCATCTTATTTTGAACAACAAAAGCAAAGCAAACAACAAAAAATAAAACAAATTATTATCATATTAGCATACATATTATTACAGATTTCCAAATTGTGTTTTTTCATCCTACACAAAGCTTTACTTACAAGCAATTACATGGCCAGATGGCAAATAAGAAACAAATGAGATGGTAAGTTAAATTATATAGCTGCCTTCAACTAGTGAGCAAAGTTCCCCTGAGGAAAACAAATTTATAAGCAGCAGTGACCTTGCTCAAGAGCTGCCTCTCAACCTCATCGCAGTGGAGACAGTCCTATTCACAGCCCACAGGCTGACTGTCACCACCATACTTGCAATGGAAAACAGCATGTAACTTTTCATGTAGACAACCATGGCATCCGAACACTGATTCATGCACTAAAAGGGTAAATATTGAGCACATGCCAAGCTCCACTTATTTGGGATACATCAGTGAAATCCCTGCCCTCATGCAGCTTACTTATTTGACGGCTAGGAGCCCAGCGCGTGATTTGAAATTGTGTGGCGCTGCCCACCCTCTGGTCCGGCCCTGCCCACCCTCCGGTCTGGCCCTGGCTCCCTCTCCAGCCCTGAAGCAGCCCCGGCTGCTGCTGATCAGGCCCTCCCTCAGTGCAGGTGTGCGGAGGCCCCTGCCACCCTGCCCCCAACGCTGCGCGCAACCTCCTCCTGTCTGGACCTGTTATGGCATCCTGGTTAATTAGCATATTTCTCTATTATATATAGATATATATATATATACTACGATTACATGGCACATTAGAAGATGGTAAGAGCAATGGACAAAAGAAAAAGTTGACTAGGATGAAAGGAGTTCTGGGGACGAGCAGGTGGCAGCATTAAATGGAAGTCAGGGTAGACCTCACTGTAAAGGTGAGACTCGGGTGAAAAGTTTAAGGAGGCAATGGCAACAAAGCAAACATCTGTAGTGAATCTCACCTGCTCTCATTTTAAAGAGGAAGGCCTATTCATTGTGTAATGAGACTTTTCCAATCCATCAGGACTAGTCAGAGAAGTGCTCTCAGGAAATGAACAGTAGTAAGAGCTATGCATGGAGTCCTTTCCTTCCTCACTCAATGTTAGGCTTGTTATTACATGGCCACAGCTGTGTAAAGATAGGGCCACCATTCGGTTACACATGGGTCAGTGGGAGTCCAGGGGCAGAAAGCAGGCTTCCAGGCCCTGTGTCCACTATTCATTTATTCCATGCTGCCTCCTAACACCCTAAGTCCAGATCGTCAGGTAGCAACCAAATCAATGATGGTTTTAGTTGTGTTACATACTACGTTGTGTTTTGAAATAGCTTGATTATAAAAAAAACTTCCCCAATAATTTTAACATCTCTTCATATCCTGCATATAAGCATGAGAACAGGGAAGTGCTTTCATGTTATGATTTGCATGGCCTCCATGCCATAGTTTATTAAAGAGTCATGCTTTTATGGAAATGTCTAATTTTTAATTGCTCAATTTATACATCCAGCAGAAAACATATAAATCCATGGTACTTCCTATTCCAATGTTAGTCCTATAACAGCAACAACAGTTAAACCAACGTTCTAATATTCCAAACATGGACAACTTCACGGCACAGCATAGGAGGGAAGAGCCAACTCTGGAGCCACCCCGCCCAGGATGCTGGCCACTTCCCAGAACTGTACCCTTTCCATACCTCAGTTTTCTCATCTGTAAAATGGAGGTCAATAACAGTATTGGTTATACAAGGTTAGTATGAGAATTTAAAGTTATTATTGACAAAGTCCTTAGAACTGCACCTGGTAGGTGGTAAATATATATGTATTTGTTGGACTAATAAAATCTTCAGAGCTGGCTAAACTGCCCTAAGCTTATTAAAGCTTATTTTATTTTACAGACAGGAGTCCACTTCCCAGATTTCAGCTGTTTTACTTCTTGTCTCAAGTGAACCTGCGGGCTCCATGAATGAGGGCTCCAAAGCTGTCACTTCCACTTTTTATGCACATCGTATCTTTTTTCCTACAGCCCTGCTGGCTTTATCCTGGCCCACGATTTGGAAATTCTATTACCACTACTACTGTATAGATGTCGGCTTCCTTATTCATATAGTTCCAACATTTTTGCTTAATCTTTCACTGAAATGAAATCTTATTCTCAACCAAATTTTAATTTTTTTCTTCTAGGAATCACCTGATTATTTCTATAGTTATCTGCTTACTTCCCTCAAGCAAGTATATGACCTACCAGAAAGGTAATTTGCAGGAATATCTCACAAAATAATACATATTCTAAAAATTTTGACTGGAACCATGCATTACTGTTCAACCATTCAGCCATTTGACACTGAGCACTGATTGGCCAGCTTGTGTTAGGTGTCCGGGTTAAAAGTAAATCCAACATGGTCACTGACCTTGGGAAGGTTCCACAGTCCAGTAAGGAGGACACACCCAAACAGGTAAACACAATAAAATAATGAATGAGCGTAGGGAGAGAGATAATATCACGGAAAGATGACAAAGGTCACGGATCTCATTTGGAAAGCAAACAGCTGATAGAGAAGAGGGAACTCAGGTCCTGGGACACACGGGGAAGGGGGCAGGCGTAGCAGAGGCTTCCCTGTAAGCTTATAGGAGGGTGATGGGGGAAAGGGTGGTGGGGGAGACAGAGAGAGAAGCAGAGACCAGACCCTGGAGACCACTGCTCGTAAGGAGGTAGATTTTTCGTTAGTGGCCTAGGGAGTCACCAAAGGAGTTTAAGAGGAAAGCCATATGGCCAGTGTTGCAGTTACAAAAAATCCCCATTGCTGCATGAGCTGTGCATTGGACTGGCTGGACAGGGGGCAGGGAGAGACACACTGGGGAACTGGGCCAGCAATCCATGCCAAAGGGGAGGAGGTCAGATCCAACTCTCACGTAGGGCTATTTTTCTACAACTCCCTTGGTCTTATCTGCCTGTAGTGAGCAGTTTATAATGTTTCAGGAATCGTTATATATTTAAGGTTTAATAGTCTAAAAAGTAAAGCCCTAGTCAATAAATGACTATTACCATTCAGGCTTCATCTGTGACACAACCTTATAATATACTCATTGTTTTTATTAGACACAGATTATATGTTTAAACCTAAAAGCTTCTTAAGAGCAGAGTTGTCTACGGCTCCCAGGACTCATAGATAAGGCTTCCAGCCCCCTCTAGCCCTCCCCCTTCCCCATGCCCATTTACATAAAACCTCAGGCCTTCCCAAGTGTATTAAGTGCAGCTAGGGTATTAAAAGTCTGTATTTTGAATCCAAACACCTTCACAAACTTTATTTACTAAAAAGGAACATTTCAAATACTATACATGAAATTATAGGCAGAAACAAAATCAAATATATATATATACACACACACATATACACACACATATATATATACATACACACACATACATACACACACACATATTTTGAATTACATAAAATCAAATCCTAGATTAATTGAAATGGAATATATAATCAATAAAGATCACTGTAGTCTTCTAA